CGACATAATGTCAAAACGATTTCTGTTGCTGAACTTATATGGTTGCCATACTCAGTTATCTGAAAAAACACATATGTCTGTTATACAATGCTGGTTGTACTCTTTTGTCCTTTGCTACTTTTGCAAGGCTTTCCTTGAGGGTGAAACATGATAATTTACATGTTTTAGGGGAAGTGAATGTGGGCATGAATCACAATTACAATCCCTCTACTTGATCAATGTTTAACAGGCAGTGCATTTGTTTTATGCTCTCCATCACACACAAGTGACTTCCCTATCTGTTGTTACCCTTGCTGAGATTGCCTTATTAAAGATCACTTGTAGATTCAGATGTGTGTTCATGTATGCAGGCCCATCCCTGCAGGGTGAGACACAAAAGCTATTTTCTCATTCATACACACACTCTTACAACATACAATTCTTCATAGTTTTGTGATTGTGCGGAGGCCCTCGGGAAAATTGCACAGCTCTCTAATGGCTCACTAAGAGCTGTAAAGCAACAGCACTCTGATAGTTGACATCAGTTAATGTTTCTTTAACTGTCACTGCGCCAGACAAAAACTGGCCCCATAAAAGATGCTATTTGGCGTCAAAGAAGTTGTAAGGCCATGGAATGTTCAGTTGGTCTCACTCTAGCAAAGTGTCATGATTTATGGAGGCCAGATGGATCAATATACTTTGCCACATTCATGCTTCTTTCTATTGCATACAAACGCCAATTTCAAACCACTGCATACATCTTAATGTTCAGGTTTAATTTTAAATTGCACCTAAGACTGCATGTACCAATGGGACATATGCATTCTTCTTCCTTCCCGGCTTTCATTTTAACCAGTCATAAAAGGAGGCCTTTGGGTGCAATCAGATGAGGGTAGCCACCCATCACACTTTCTTTCATCCCCTACGGGGGGTAAAAAAACACAGTTGATAGAAGGAGGTTCAACACTATGCACACAGAATGAACAGAGGTAAAAGGAGGAAGAAGGGAGCGGTATAGGAAGACCTGCTCCACCCCACTCCTTCCTGCAACCTACGCTCCACTAATACCAACCTCCTGGCTCGACCAATCAAAACCAGGCATTGAACATGGGGCGACAGAGCCATTCTCCCTCCCTCTGGAAACTCTCTCCCCAAACACGTTCTTGCCAGTTTCAAATCTAAACACACCTTTTCAGAACTGCTTTTAATGCATGTTTCATATTGTGCTATATATATTTTTGTGTGTTTTTTTTATATAATATAATATTATATAATATAAAGTGTCCTACCCATTTATTAGAGGCTGCACATGCACAGTTTTATTAACAAATAACAATGAATATGTTAATATACTACATAAACGATCTTTAACTAAATAATTTACATTCTTGTACATTTTCTATTGAGGCTCTGAAAATGTATTCCCACACAAATGTGCATCATCAATCCTGCTTCAGCTCATCCTTCAAATCATGAAGCATGACATCATGTAATACAATGTCATATTTATAACTGGGATTGTATAAAGGGTGAAAAATAGTTTCTGTTACCTCAGAGCAGTGAGTATTCCAGTTGATCAGGTTCACCTGTGCTTTCAAATGTAACAAGATGTATTTGTTCTTAGTTTTCAGTGTGACTGTGTTGGGTGTTGATTATCTCTGAGACTGTATTCAGTGGTGGTGTTGTGAGAGATTGAGTTATATTTGAAAAGTGTTTTCTTACATAACAATGTATATGGGAGGCACAACCTTTAATGGAAATACAAAACATCCTATTTTTAATCTAGTTATAATTCCTGAATTGTATATGTGACTATTACTAATTGCATTCATGGCACTTTTAATCATCACCTCTTGTTTGTCCAGATATTTCAGTTTCCTGTGTGTCTTCCAGCCTCTTCCGTATTGCCGATTGATTCTCCAAGGACAAGAGTAAATGTGGGGAGGGACAGATGTAAAGATGGATGGGCAGAAAGATATTGAGAGACAAACAAAAAATAGAGGGTGGGGGGCAGAGTTGGCTGAGGTCACTTGCACCTTGAGGGGAAACCAGCGTGCACACACACACACACACACACACACACACACACACACACACACACACACACACACACACACACACACACACACAATTTATAGCTCTGCCTTTACTGACTTGTCTCCCTGATTAATTATATTGTGGAGCTGTCAGCTGCTCTTTCTTCCAGGGTGCCTGAACACACTTTGCCACACACGACTCTGACTCCGAGCAGTAGACACGCACTGATGGAGACCTTGGGCTCCAGCATCCTTTAAAACGCTAGTTAGCTACAAAATAATTAATTCTGTAATTTAATTACACACATGCAGCATCAAGGCAAATTCAAATCAAGTATATCTTGTTAGGCTCAAATGTTGAAAGGAAGGGCAAAAGTGAGAAAAAAACTTCAATTTTGCAGAGAAGCAATGCTTTGTTCACATATTGTGTTGGAATAAAATAAGTCAATTGATAGCATTTACAATGTGAGTTTGAGTAGGAAAGAGACAAAAATAACAATATACAAAATTGCTGTAGAAAATGCTATCATTGAATAATGTCATCTACTGTATAGTAGAGCACTATAAGAGCACATAGGGTTAGGGTACTGTATATTTAAAAACATGTAAATATATATAATATATATATATATATAATATATATATATAAAAGTATACAAGGATAATAACATTATGCTACATACCTTGCTAAAGGACCCTTCACATTGTTTTACAGTATATGTCACATAAATGAAGTCCATTATGCTAGAGGTCAAATTTAGCCATTAGTGTTAAATGGACCATAATTCCTCACAGCAACCTGCCAGTAGAAACCCCATCGACCAGAAATGTGCGGTGAGAAAAGCAAAATGCCTGAAAGATAATTGTGCCAAATACCATTAAGAAGCTTCAGTTTCAGTTCATGCTCTTTTGCATTCTGGCTCATTGACACACTGTCTTGACTCATTGCCGACAGAACAAAACAACCATTAACGTTGTAATTGTCACGAAACAACTATCCGTGTTCTAGTATCACAAGTCATAATACCTGATGTGAAAAATAAACAATATTTATTATATTTCATTTGCAGCAATAACTCTAGAAAAGCAACGATTCCCAGAACAACATATAACGAAATAATATGCAAATTGTTGTGTCTCGTCAAATGTGCTAGTTATGTTTATGTATTTTGTCTGTAATTTCCTGTTTTATGTTGTATTTACCTCTTGTCTTTCATTTCAGGCCCTGTTTCTTCCTCCCCTTGTGTGTTTTTCCCGCCATCATCAGTGTCTGCCTCGCCCCTGACTGTTTCCACCTGTTCCCACTCACCTTTAAATAGTCCTGTCTCTCCCCTGTCCTGTGTCAGTTCGTCTTGTTTGTTTCCCCGAATGGTCGTGCCAAGCCTCTACTCAGAAAGGATTGCTTTCTCTCATGTCAGGTTATGTTATTTTCTTGATTTCTGTAGGCTTACGTTTTTTCTTAAGTTCTCCTTTTGTTATGCCTAGGTTCTTTCCTCCTTGTGAGCGCTTTTTGTTTATTCCAGCACCTACTCTGTTAAGAGGGATTTCCTGATCATTGGAATTAATAAATACATGTTATTACATTCAAGACTTTGTCTCCGGGTCGTGCATTTGGGTTCATCAGTTTGTGTCGAGGTCCTGATACAAATACTTATAAATTGATATAGTTACAACAACATTTTTAATTACCTGTGTAGTCTTTATTATTTGGAAAAAGGCACTCACTACATTTAATGTGATCTGTTCATAAAATAAACTATACACAACAAACTTGTCACAGGTCATGGTCAAAGGAAAAGGTTAATGATATCAGATGAATAGGTTACGAGTACAACCAGTGTGTACTTTGTCTTTAGTAATGCATGCAATGCTATATTCAACGTATAGTGATACGTTGAATAATTCAGTAACATTTCAAGAAGGCGTTGAGTAGTGCCAGTGCCTATTTGTAAAATGCAAATATGAATTGGTGATGTGTCAAACATTTCAGTCAGTTAATGTAGGAACAACAGCAAAACCCATTTCAGTGTGAAGACGATTGAAGCCACTGTGTGACTGTGTTCCAGACAAAATAAATACGATAAAAGAAACATGTTTTGTTCATATTTTCGATTCTATGAAAAATGTAACTCAAGTGCTTGGCTGGTATAAAACAAAGTAAACACATATACAAACATGCTTGATGAGTAAAAAATCAACAGCATCAATTGAAAAGTAGTTGAAGTCGTCAGAAGACATGTGTGATAAAAGTGAATGTAATATACAAAATAAGTGTTTTCAACATGGCGGACAATCTCATAGCCAACGGTGATTAAATGCGTCTATCAGGTGAATTCCAGCTTGGTGTATTCTTTTTTTACTAAATGTTAAATTAAGCAGTACATTTCATTTTATGAAAACATTATTACAGCTGTATTTCAAGCTTTCAAGTAAGTCAATTATCTGCAATGCTTGTGGTTTAATAACCATGCACAATTAAGGTGAATAGTTCTTTTTTATGAGCTCTTATGTAGTAGTTTAAGCCCTAAGGCTGCATTTTCAAAGCCACATACCATGTAGGAATACTTGTACATGCCAGGAAGGTAAATGCTTGTATTGTCTATTGATCCAGCAGAAACACAACCTTCCACCCTCCAGACATTGTAGTCTTTAAGCAGCAGAGCTAAAAATAGCCAACACAGCATGAAACGACAAAGCGGCGATCGATAGTGGTTTTGAAGATGGATGACATTTCACTAGCTCTCTGAATGTCCTGCCCACATCTGTAAAAAATAATATTCTGCATTAAGTGACAACCATTGCCCAAGTGTCTCTTAAGAGTCGTCTGGAAGACAACCAAACTGGATTGATAGCTCCCGTAGAAATGAAGGTTCTTAAGTAGCCCATTCTACAGTAACATCCCATGTGAGGTATTTTAACTAAAGCCTCTTCTGTCTCTTTACATTTTTGGCAACACATTTCTTTCTCATGGCTATGGCACAATGACTGAATTTCCTTGGGAGCAGTTATGATGTAAGCGTAGGAAACAGAAAGGCACATTTACTGACATCTCAAAGGTCCATGCACTCTTTTTCTGCGTCTCTGTCTCTGTGTGTTTCACTCTGTCTCTCTGTCTCTGAAGCACTCGATTATTCATCGCCTAGTCGTTCTCTCCCTCTTTTACGTTCACTGTTGTGAACCCATTCAACTTGCTGCGCTCCATTGCGTAATGTGACAGGTTTGTCAGACTGGTGTTTCCCTCTTTTCTTTCTCCACTTTCCTCGTCTGGCTCCACATCTCCTTCTTCTTCCGTCCTCTCCTCACCCAGCATGGCATTATTTATTCCTAGGCTTGTCCGTTGCACATCTTCATTAATGTTCCTCCGCAGTTCACGGTTCTTGTTGCGTCTGGCCAGCTTGGTAAGGGATCCAAAGCGCAGGTTGGAGAGATTCTCCTCTGAGGAAGATGCTGTCTGTGGTGTTTGCTCGCTCGCCTGATGGTCGTACGCCTCACAGGCCCCCTTCAGCCTCAGGTTGTTGAGCTTGGTGTCGATGCTCTCCTGAGAGGAAGTCTTGAAGCGAGCAGCATCCAGACTGGCAAACAAGGCCCTCTTCTCAGGAGACAGCATGTCCAGAGAGAGAGCTCGCTGCTCCAGGCCCAGCTGGCGGCGCTCCATGCTGCGGATGGTGGCGGCCCGCTGGAGCTTGTCATGGATCTCAACACTCAGGCGCCGCCGCGTTTCACGAAACTCTGCTCTAACATTTGCCTTCCATTCAGCAGCATGAGCTTTAATCTCCCCAACCTGTGACGATAGTGCAGAAAGGAAAGGATCAGGAATCGGTTTCAGAAAGCAAATGGTGTATAACATGTAGCAGCAAGACATTGTATCATTGTATCAAAAAATGTTTTTCTTTAAAGAATTCTAATTCAGCTTTTGCAAAGAAGTGTGAGTGATGGGTACCTCGATGATAACAAAATGTTCTGCCAACGTTGGTACAGTTTTGTTTTTTTCACTTTAACCTTACCAACGAAATCTGAATAAATGAAGATTTTTACAACTACTTATACCTATACAGCGTTTTCATTTCATTGTCTTCTATTTGGACGATGCTGAACAACTCAAACAATATAGCAGCCTGTTAGATACCATTTTGACAAGAGCTAATCAGCGATTATTGGGAGAAATATAATCAAATCAAATCAAATCAAGTTTTATTTATATAGCACATTTTTAAAACGATTTTTGGTCGAGCCAAATTGCTGTACATATAATAATTACCTTACAGTAAGGACACTTTACAGCAAATATAACAGCACAGTTTGTAAAGAATATCAGTATGAGAAAACGACACCCTCTGTCCTTAGACCCTCACATCGTACAAGGAAAAACTTCCGGAGAAAAAACCCACAGTTTAAAGGGAAAAATGGGAGAAACCTCAGGGAGAGCAACAGAGGAGGGATCCCTCTCCCAGGACGGACAGAAGTGCAATAGATGCCGTGTGTAAGAGATAATACATTTTAAGAGCAGAAGGGTAGAGAAGGCAGTAGCAGGGTCGGAATTTCTAGTTCTATTATAGTTTCTCTACAATTGTATGAACCTCACCTCTTCTTTGGTCTTTTTGGACAGTACTCGAAGCCAGTCTCCAATCATGCTGAGGACAGCCGCAAAGTATGCTAAACCCACCAAGATCCAGAACCACACCAGGGGTTTGTACCACTGCATATAGTCGATTCTACGGTCACCACCTGGAGGGGAAGGAAAAACACCAAATATGTAAGTCATGATAGTTAAATTAAACAATAATCTACAACAGGGGTCGGCAACCTTTTTGATATGGGGGGGGGTTGAGGAGCTTGACGCTCGTGAACTATCAACAGGAGGGCGGGGGGAGCATATTATTTCAATGAGAGATGAGCAGATCGCCACTGGGCTTTCAACTAAAGACACAGCCACGCAAAAACTGCGGTATTTGTACAGCTCCTTATGGGTACTGCAATTTGTGAAGTGCTTTCCTTCGTGGTGAAACGATCAGCCCTGCACCACGGAGGAAAGCGGCAGAAAGTCACCTGGAGTTAAAGAGAGCGGGGCTGCGTCGCGTGCATGGCTTCCTTCTGCAGGTAACGGGGAGACGCGCTCTGGCGGCGGTCTCGTTCAGGATCCGAAAATACAATTTAAATATTGTGCACACTTATTCCACTTATTCCTAGTGTGCCACTGGTTACGGTGCCGCGTGCCAATGCTGGCACGCGTGCCAGGGGTTGCCGACCCCTGATCTACAATCATGAGATACAGTACAATTCAGTTTTCAATCATCATCAAATGTTGAGATTTCCTGCTTTTTTTCTGTTTGATTTGATATACAAAATGTTGGCTGGAGAAAGAAAACGTTTTTTAGTTGTAGCATGATCTACCTGCCACATAGTCTCCTATTCCCACTGTGGTGAGTGTGATCACAACAAAGTAGATGGCCTCTAGTGTGGTCCAGCCCTCGATGTGTTTGAAGACGACAGCAGGGATGGTGACAAAAACAATGCAGCCAGCCAGAATGAACAGGATGGTTGACGTCACTCTGATCTTAGTTTGGCTGATCTGTTTGTGTTTTTGCTGAAAAAGACAAACAGGGGATGCCATTAGAACAATATAAGAAGTTAAAAGAGGATAACAACTGGCAAATAATAATAAAACAATATCTGAAACTAGCTTAAACTCACCCTGAATATCTTCTCAACTCTCAAGATGCTTTTCACGAAGATGGTCCCCAGCTGGTCTCCAATCCCCGCCAACAAAAAGCCAAAGAGAGGGATGCCAAATATGGCATAAAGGATGCAAAGGATTTTCCCGCCCTCCGTGCTTGGAGCTATGTTTCCATAACCTGATAAAAACAAAGAAAACACGATTATAGAATCATGGCCAAGTGGTGAGGGGGAGGGGGAGTGTTAGGATGAAAGCAATAGAAGACAATCAAGACCCTCTTAACCAACAATCAATTGAAGTCCATATCATGCTACTGTTGCAAGGGTCTGTAGTAAATAAGCTCCTCAAGAAAAAATTATCCTCCTGAGAGATATTGCATTATTATTTGACAGAGATACCAGGCCAGGGAGACACATAAAGGACAGTTTCATCATGTATATTTCTAATGCAATTGAATTGAAACTCATTGAAGAGGATACATTTTTACATTTGTAACATGTTTAATTTAAAGCTGTGTAGGGTCTTACTTCTTGTATTCTCTTAAATCTGATATCTAAAAATCTGATGGATGTTAATGAAGCAACTAAAAACGACTGTACAGTAGCGTAGTTGAAAATCCCTAGTTAATTCAATCTCTGGACCATAACAAGAGGTTCGGGACTTTGTGTTTTTTCCCTTTTATTTGAAATGAAGGAACATGCAGCTAATAGAGAAATAGAAACTTTAATGTATCATCTTGATGTTGGAATTATAGCTCCTATATGGAACTATATCTATTGTAAATATTCAAAGCATCAAGAGCCTTTCAATTTCATTACAAAATATGTTTGATCAATAAATAGTTTTTCTTGTTAGAGCAAGTAAAAAAAGCTCATAGAGAGACATAAGGTGAATTGAAACTAAATAATCTGCATAAGCAGTGTGTGTTTTGAACTTCACCGGTTGTTAAATCCCATAGGGGTTTGTATTGCATCATTTAGCATTAGCACCACCTCATGAGGGTGAAAGGATTTGTAAAACTCACCTGAGGATAGCAATAAGAGGCAGGGATTTACACAGCTTTACAGAAATGTGTGTTGAGAAGCACCTTCGACAAACTGAAAGGACAAAGCCTTTCAAAAGTATTCTAATCCCTTTTCAAGGTCTTGCATATATAACTCATGTTGTTGTTTGGTTCATCACACAAATATTTGTTTTTTTCAGTGAAGATTCCAATTTTTAGAATAGTACTAATGTCATATTGTTTTTCTCTACACACAAGCAGTGTTAGGATTCTATAGAGCTTCAAAGTGTGGGTCACTTTTTAATTGATTGGGTAAAAAGTGTATGGCCATCTAAATAACACTTTAGTCTAATGAATCCGTCAACACCTCTATGATATGACCTTATGCAACATAACTATAGCAGAAATGAAAGCATTAGAGTGGATTAATCAAAACGTTACCTATGGTTGTGATGACAGTCCCAGCGAAGAAGAATGCGCTGCCCATGTCCCAGTAACTGGAAGTGTAGGATGTGTTTCCAATAGGACTCACTCCTGCATTCACAGCATCTATAGCATGCTGCAATTAGAATATAATGGAATATAAATTAGATGGAGACAATCCTAGATGCATGTCATAAACTGATTATACGTTCAGCTAAGTAGATGCAGTTAAAATAAATTAAATCAGTTCAACATTAGTGTATCTGCCATTGGAATCATGCTGATGTGATCATGGGTGTGTGTTACAAAACGCTGTTGTGTTATAACATTTAATTAAAAAAGATTAAAATAAGCATTGCATTGAACAACACACATACAAATCAGTAAATGCGGAAACATCTATGAGATCTGTTTCTCATTATTCAGTGTCTGACTCTTCACACAGAGCAGTGTCTGCATTCTAACCCACTGCATGTTTTTACACTTCACTTCACTGACTTAATCTACATTGACTTTCACTTGCAGCAAACAGACCTTAATCTATTTTTTCTTCTATGTCAGGTTTTCCTTTACTCCCGGAGCTTTCCTTTATGTCCAGCTTGTCTAGGGAAACATTTAGAACCTACAGCGCTCTCACACCCTGCATCATTATTCTCAATGATCTAATTATGAGCTCCATTATGTAGCAATAACAGTTAATACACTATCTTGAATTATTTCTAAATGTTCTGTTTATGGGCTTTTTATGAGAATGGCATTTCATTTTCTTATCTCTGTGGACATTAATAGTTTGCATTTTGCTTCTGGGCTCAACATCACTTTCTGCTGGCATGAAAGTCATGGTTGCCATTGGTAAAAAAATAGTGCATTTACCAACATCCTGAATTCAGGGCAGCCCCCCAAAACTATCCATGCAAGCTGTTAGTAAAATGCACGTCCATCTGATCAAATATGTATCAACTCTTTTGACATAGCCTACATTTCAAAGCAGACAGAGTAAGGGATCACTTCCACACTGCTGCACCTGCCTACTCATAATCATGCATGTGATTACCTCAGCTCCATCAGTGCACCCCCCCACCCCCACCCCCACCCCCACCCCCCCAGACAGACTTTGGTATCTGAAATAGAGTCATGCCGACATAGCCTCAATATAGGAGCCAAATCTGAGCGGTAATTATATAATAAATCCCAAATAGCCTAATTCTTGAGCCAAGAGAGAGCTAATAATAGCCTCACAATATATCTGAATACTTGATGAGGAAGTCTATTTAAGTCTCCAGTTTTCACAGCCAAGTTCACACTGCATTAGATATGTGGAAAATCCTCTTTATCCAGGGGCACTTATGAAACACGAGGATGCTGACGATGATTTGTGTTGTTGTGTGCTAATTAGGACGCAACTTGTGTTATAATGTTACAGCAACTCTCCTCCTATTCGATTGCACAGAAGATTAAGCACACAGACGTTCTTGTAGACACACAGTCAACCCCAAATGTTTGTGACGTGCCCTTTGCTAATGTGTGTTTTTATATTCTTCACTTCAGGATCAATAAAGTGCAGGCTAAATCACTGCAAATCTGTATCCTCTCAGTGTGTCCTTCTGCCCCACAGCAGGTGACAGCAATGATCCAGCCAGCATGGTGCCTCGCTCTCTGTGAGCCGGTGCCAAGCTCTCTCCCCTGCAGCACTCGCTCTTTGACTAGTATCTATAACTTCTTCTGAACCACTTTAAAGCATTAAAGCTGCCTAAATGACTGCCAAACTGGAAGACTCTGGTCCATCACAGATAAGGCTAATCATCAAAACAGTTTGTAAAGTGAGCAAAGATAATCAAAACCCAGCTTTGATACACACATATATTTCCTTTTTTTGCACAAAATCTCCCTGGTTTGTGGTTTTATTTAACATGAGATATATATTTTTCCATATTTTTTACAATTCACTTTTTAGTCTATTCGTAAAGTCATTTCATTAGTTTAGGAACTTTGTGTCAAACCCTTGCGGAGCCTCTTTCTCATGAATCACTGTAGACCTTTAATAAAGCAGCCTAACTTTGACAATCATTCTCACAAATAACTATACATCCATATAACAAAAATAAAAATCATGTAAATCATGCTGTGAACAATTATTATGTTGTTATTTATGTGTCGTGACATAGATTCCCTGCAGGTAGTCCAGTGTTTTTGAAAGTATTTTGAAGATTAAGTGAGTCATCAATAAAAGAGACTTGACTGGTGGCAACAACAGCACGGCTCCACACTGTGCCAAAGAGTGAGTCATCCCGACAGCGCTGGAAAAGCCAAATTGGTCCGCTGCCTTTGTGGGCGCCCAGCGGGTAGGTGGACAGCACAGATGCTGAAGCAGACGTGAGTGAGGGGGTCAACAGACATGCATTGACAAGCACACACGAACACACAGACACACACTGAGCCAACATGGGTTTTGGAGCAAAGCCTTGCAAGTGCTTGGTCTATACACCGTCTTCTTTTCGCTCACCCACACACTAGCTGTACATTTACACACATGTCTCTTAAAGTTGCAATTTTTCAATCAAATTTTGCCAAACATTCACTGAACTGTGAGTAATCACTGCCGTGTCACCATAGAGGATCTTTGTTTGAGTGACAGGCTCCACGCAGCAGGAACGGACCGATAACAGAACCTGTGACCAGACAGACTCTATGATGGAGTACTTGTGAAGAAACATGTCCTGAAGGCCTTTTTTTAAGACAGCCAAGGGAAAGAAGTGTTATTTGTCAGTTCGAGTTTCACACATGGCACGATTTTCGTTATTTTATACTTGAAGAACTGTCATAGCTTAGTAGAAGGATATCTGAAGGAACAGTTTGAAACTTTGGAAATTCACTTTCTTACAGATGATTAGCAGAGAAAACTGAGAGAAAACTCTGAATCTGGTACGCATTATATCTGCAAACAGTTAGCTTATCTTTATCTAAATCATGATACGTCACTTGTTTAATCTGTAGACAAACATAAATGTAAACATGACATGTTGTAGTTTAAGGTTGCTTGGGTCACTGCTTCTTACAAAAGATAATCTGGCACATAAACCATAACTTGCATTTTTTACAAATAGTTTTTTGCGCGTTTAAAACACTTAAGATATATTATATTTTTGGCAGATTCTGTTCAGTTTGGGCAGACCTAGGCTACATGTCTCCCTGTCTTTCCAGTGAACGTTAGGTTAACTGGCTGCTGGTACTAACTTTATAAACCATATCGACATAAAGGCAGCGGTATTGATCTACTCATTTAGCTCTCTGCAGAAAAGCCAATGGATCAACTCAAACTTAATCTGATCTCATCATAGTTGTACAAGGACTATACAAATCCTATATTTTTTAATACATTCAATTTGGCAGAGGTAATATTGTAAATTAGTTCTAAAACAGTTTAATAGAGGCAAATAACTGGTGAGACATGCCGTCATAGATGTTATGTCCTGTCTCTGGATCTGATCATTAGTCAGCTGCTGCTGCTGCTTGGGGCTACAGGAGGTCTGTGACTGCTGGCCTGTGCAATAAATAATTGATTCCCTCCGGACCTCAGGCACACCTAAAGGTTTTTATTTCCAAACATCTCCCAAGGAAATACTGTCATTGATTTATTTTCACAAACCCGGGATAGCACTTTTGTGGTTTAAAGGTTGAGTGCTGCGAGGGAGGAGAAGAAAGGAGGCTTTTCTGAAATAGAGTAACAGAACAGGCGTGGGTGTGGAGAAGGAGGGAGAGACAGATCGGCAGTACAATATTTACTGGAGCAGTGTTGAAGAAGCTAGCGTCAAATGGAGCCATTGTAGCAGAAAGTGAAGCACACCAAATGCCTTTGGGGTTATTTTAAGTTAAAGATGATCAGAGGGGTTCACTGGGGCACTAACCTACATGGAAAGCACATTATGCAAAAAAGCTCTCTTTTTCACAATCTACTGTATTCATGTGATTTCATATGTTTTCTGCTGAATTATGCTAGTGAGGTACTACTTAGGCAGGTACAAGGGATTTGCCATTTGGTCCTTGTGTCACAAACATTTGCCCTCAAAGAAATGAACCCACATAGATGCAGAATCCCTCCCTCTCTTTCTCTTGAGAACATTCTCTGCATAGGAGTGTTTGAGTGATCTGAGTCCCGCTTTTTTCTTTTGCAGCACACCCTCACAAATCAAAATTTCAACACAGCAGAGTGCAAGCCGTCAGATCTCAAATTATTTTCCAATCGCGCTTCCAGTTATCAGCTTGATGTATTGACCTTAAATCTCGACCTATAATATCAGAGAACGGCGTAAAGCATTGCCATACACTGTGGTATAAAGCGGCTGACACCACAAAGAAATGCCCAATCAAGTCATGATGTGATGGGCATGATTTGTTTCACAATCTGCTTGTTATCTAGTCCAGTTCACACAGGTATTGGTTGATAATGAAAGCTTCTTATTCTGTATTAGAAACATGTGGAACATTGCAGATACAGCATGATTTATGTCGACCTGTGTCAAGGGTTGTCACTCATGTTTTTAACAACAAGCTGTTTAATCAAGATACACATGTTAGAATGAATCATTCTTAAGGTTGTCATGATCTGATTTTATGATCAGACAGACATTGATGTGATGCCAAGAATAGCGTTAAGGATTTAGGGTCCATCTGCCCCAGAAATCTCTCTGGATCTTTCCAGTTGAACAAAATGTCTTGTTAAAATAGAAGAGATATCACACACTGTTTTGGTAGAAGACAGAGAAAAACTTGGCTTCAAACGTTTCTTACAGCAAAGACAACAATGCTCTTGTGGCCGTGAACTAGTTTCCTTATTTAAAACGTGTGGGTGTAGTTAAAGCCTCACTCTGGAATATCATGCACAAATACATGTATTGTTGAGGGTATTAAGATACAGCTTAGTTATACAATCTTGATCTCAAAACAACCCACAATCTGTTGTAATAAAAAATGTGGGTTGATTACTATTACTAGTACTATGTGTTTGCTCAAGTCGAGTCAGGGACACAACAACATCAATGTAGACCTGCAATTACAATTCACCTTTCTCCACTCTAAGCAGCTGTAATCCACCATAAAAGTGATAATGACCTTTTTCACTAGGATAAACAATTGCCCTTACTGTGTATACTGGTTACTGTATATACTGTTATGTAACATTCAACTGTACACAGTAAATTTGACTCAAATTGAAGAAAATTTTACTCTAAAAATATAACATTTGGTCCCAACCTATATAGAGTAAAATGTACTCTTTGTTCAGAGTTGTATTTTTAGAGTTCATTTTACTCTATTATGTGCTTAGATTTGACTCTGCTTAATGGTTATTTACTCTATGTAGTGTATATTAAAAACAACTCTACTGCCATTTTACTCATAATAGAAGATAATTTTACTCCCAATAGAAGGTCATTTTACTCAGAATAGAATAAATGAACCATAATGATCTTTACAATAAAAAAGGTCAATAAACCAAAGTGCTTAAGGAACATGAGTGGGCGTGTGTGAAGCTGACCATTGAGCGGCCCAACCAAGCAAGGAGGCAGAGGCAGAGAGTTCAAATACAACCCGGTGTGGGCATTTATTCCTCTTTGTGGTACAGGATACACAGCCTCAATATGACTGTCTCACGTGAACACAGTCACCAGCCACCAGGACCTCACACACACACACTAACAGGAAAACAGAACCTAAATACACACAGGACTAATCAAACCAACAAGACACAGGTGAGGAGGGAGGAGAAAACACAGGGCACCAGGTGAACGCAATCACCAGCAACAGACAAGACGGGAGGGGGAACACTTTTCAAACTAAAACAGGAAACAGAGACAGACAAACTAAAACATAGACAGATTGTGACAAATATATGCATAAATGACATATAATCACATGCTTCCTGTGCAATGTTTTAGCGTGGAACAAATGAATATACTTCGCCAATAATGAAGCTATATAATCCGTAACGGAGACCGAGATCAATGGCCCCAGAGATCACCTCCGTTACAGCGTGGTCATGGTTTAACTCCAATAGAATTGACTCTGCATTTTTGATCGCACTCTAGAAGCTATGAGTAATAAATACACTCCAAAATGATTAAATATCACTATTTCAGAGCAAAATAGTAATTACTCTGGAAAAAATACTCACCAATATTTCCTGTGTATGTGCTAGCAGGTCAAGTTGGTTTACTGACATATGTGAAGTGTCACTGAGAATTATGGGTATCTCTGTGGTGACCCTGAAGGTATTAATGTGCTTCCCGCTGAATGATGGATCTGCCTCTAAGTCTTCTCGTGACATTTACCCATCAACCACGGGGGCCCAGAGCATGGGAGTGTCTTCTGTCACATGTGTCTATAAATAAGCATTATCGGAGCAATAACAGCACTCTGGAAAAGGTTGTGATTGAGTTCAATACAACCCTTAAAACCTAAATCTTAATTTGAGTGACTAGACATATTCAAACCATCTCCTTGCATACCTATGTGGAGGTTAATTGCGACTGAATAGAGAAGTACAATAACAACGAGTCAAGGTATTGGGTTCTAACAATCATTTTTTTAAAGAAAGAGGACTTCACTGCTCCAAGTAAACACCTACACAATTTCTAAAGGTTACGAACAAAAAATGGACATAGAAGTAACGAAGCAGTATTATCATTTTTTTGGTTAATTTCTTACTCATTGTCATTTCTACCCTTGTTATTCTAAAAATGTTGATTATAGCAGCTTTTAGTCGAGGCTAGTTAGTACAAATAATCTTTGCAAATCAGAACTCTTCAAAAATCAGCAATCAAGATGTTTTACTCAATATTTAAATACAAAAATTGCTATATCTATTATAAACAAACATGACAACAATTGTTTTGAAAAACGTAAACAATTATACTGTAAAATTCTGCAAAAAGGACAATGACATCAAAGTTTTGACCTTCTGGAGGACGGTCTGGACATGAAAGACAGTATCATCCAAGATTTTCATGTGAAAAGCTAAAGAAACAAGATGTAATTAACCTGAGAACCTCTAACTACCTCTGATAGCAATCACCATCTTGAAAACTGCTGCTACAAAAAGGTAAGTCCTCTGATTTTCTTCCTCTTATCTACCAATCACATGGAATGGCACTCAGTATCAGATAACTTTCATTAAATCCCTCTGATCGTTCTATCCTCTTACAAACTAATCTTTGGATGAAGATATACTGTGATGAGCAGATACAATAAACGCAATGCACAATCAAAGGGCTGAATGAACAGATGAAAGGAAGTTCAGGTCTGCTAAATGTGCAGATTTTTTTTTATCTAAAATTACAGAAGCTTATCTCGACTTTCAATCCCTTACCTTGATGAGTACCTCGAGCTCTTGAGGAGTAACACACGGGTTTCTCTCCAGGAACGAAGCCTTCTCCAGAGTGATGCTGGTCTTCTGGTTGCTCTCAAACGGCTGCTCCAGCGCCTTGAAAGCCAGACCTCCGCAGACCAGGTAGAGAACGACCACGATGAACACGGCCAGCACCGTCTTCCACTTCATCACTGAGTGGAGCGCGGCGGCCATGCCGTCACAGCTGGCGTCCATGCTGGCCACAACGCTGGCAGAGCGGGAGGAGATGGACAGGCGTGGCAGTGGACAGTGACCATTGGCCTTAGGATCGCAGCTCATCGGATTCTGCATGGTGGCCACACTGGCCTGGACAAGACTCGACTTGGCCATGCCAGACTGGGCCTTTTTGGGAGGGACCAAGTTGGTTTGGACCGCCACTAGGAAAAAATTGGAAAGAAGAGAATATTGTTTTGTTTGTCATTGTATTTGAGGATACCAAGACATAAACTGCAATCCTGTATCTTCTGAAAGGGATTCTCTGATGATTTTATGCAAATAAAACTAACAGACCATTCTTGGCTGAAGGCTTTGAATCTGTTACAGACAGATTGAGCTTTGAGAACGATTCCTCTGAGATTATGTTTTATGATAACACACTAATTGTTTTTACATTCATTTGTTCTATGCCCGACTCTGATAACAAGTCTTTTGCAATAGTAAAAATACTCTATGGAATGAGTTTGATTACAGTATTTTCTCTAACCTTTAAGCTTTCATGCACATCAAATGCATTAACATAAAAAAGGAGCCAATAATAAAAAATGTCTGCTTCCCAGGTACAATAAGTAAAGCAATATAGCTTTTCAATGTTTCAAGTCCAAATTGGGTATTCATCAGGTTCATACTGTAGGTATCAACACTGATTGTTTAACTCTGTTAGTAAGAAAGGCCTCCAAATATTGTACTTTTTAAAAAAAGTTAATCATTTTAAAGGGAGGTCTTGGGAAATATATCACTGTGCAGGTTTGGACTCCCCGAGCACAAAGAGAAATGTGTATCTGTTTTGCACATTGAACACGACATTGGACATAAACACAGGCTCATTAGCCATTACAACCTATTAGAACGTAATTTCCCTTCTACTCTGAGCTGATAAAGGGCTCTTCACAAAGCTAACACTTAAAGCTATCAGCATAAAGGACATATTCAATACGCTCCACAGCAGTCATCTCACACTTCACACACTGAGAATTTGGTTTGGGTTTTAAACATAAAAGACACTATTTCTGTGAATTGCAGTCTCTGCGCTACCACCTCAAGAAAACCTTGTCATCAAATTATTGTAATAAATGAAAAAAATTGAGGTAACAAGCATGAGTCTGCAAAACGGAAAAATAAGAAAATACATTTACAAATATCTAAAACATAACACTTGCAACCAAACCCTCACAATATTGCTAAGAGGAGGTGAAAGCTGAGTTACCCTCTGCTAAGAAAGCAGGATTCAATTGTGCTAATTCACTGTAAGAGGGGGTGGGGGGGATGAGTGCCACTTTCAGTAATAGGTTTCTGTGTGGGTTTTTATAATAATGCATGGGTGCTGGAACAGGTCAACGAAGTGGCAAGCAACACCTTGGAGGTGGCCACATGTAGATTCCTTTAATGTGTATAACGCATTGAATAAGCTATTCAGAGCATCAACCTTCACCCCTGACGCCCCCACCTATCTTAGATCGGAGAGTGCGGCATGCCTCGAGCCATGGGTGGAGCCTGTTGGCTTTAATGTTGGAACTCTTGTATGTAGGAACACAATATGGATATGTTTGAGGGATACACTCTTTTACTGGTATGGGATCACTAATGGGATATTCTAAGTACAATGTATCCTCTCACTCACACACCCCACCTTGATGAGTCAAGGGCATCCAGGAAGTGTCTCATTCTCTGCAGGAGCTATGAATCTTGTTAGTTAATGCCTGTATCATGAGTGAATCAATAACAGCAGAGTGATGTCAAGCTTAAGAAGGTGCAAAACTGCCACTTTCAATTTGTACATGTGTTTAAGGGCAGTGGCTGGCTATTTTTTGAAAATTAGATGGATTGGAAAATTAGGACTGAATGCTGAAGCAGAAGAAAGAAAATAACACATCAATATTGTATGCTGCATTTGATCTTGATGATAGATGTAGATTAACTTCAACTGTCAAATGAATTGCAAATTGGGCCAAATCAATAACTAGTTACACTGAGACAAGAATGCTTCTCATCTCATCTGAAATGTAATAAATCAGTTATTTGCAGCAGAGTGACGGCAGCTATAGGCAGTTCAAAAACATGGATATTATTGAGTTTAGTTCAGCTATGTAATAGAAAAACCTAAGAGTAATAAATAAATAAAGCATAAATAAAAGGTTACATGTCTGTCAAAGTTTAAAACCATAGGGGCAAAATCAAACCGGGGATAAAGATAATTGTCTTTACATTTCATATTTTTGAGGCTCTATCGCATTCATAGAATCCTTTTCCAACAAATGAGTTTTCTTCATATTGTTTTTTGGTAATTAAATAAGGTCTGAGTGGGACACCGTAATTTGTATCTGATAGTATCTCTCTCTCAGCCCTTCCTCTGTTTCCAGCAGGTCTGGCCAAAGCAGAGGTAATGTTGCACTCACTGGGTCCATAAAACAATGGAAAAAATATCAGGATGCTAATGAGAATTCTAATGATAGCAATTAAATGTTGCATTTATAATGTAACACACTGTTTAATGGGGCACAGTTGTGGTGGGACAATAGAACCATTCAATTTGTCAACATTTCAGCATACAAATGCACATTGCGTGTAGAAAAGCATTATTTACCCAGTGATAAACAAAATGCAGAAACAGTTAACACGAGGGAGCATTAACGGTTGGTTCAGGACTCTAGGCTCAGTTCTTCCCTGGGGTGCAAGGCAGGTTATAGGCGTTGAACTAACCAGCTGGGACCAACATCTATCATCAAGCCAGTCTGAATCACACATGAAGGCCAAGTACTTCCGGCAAAAAACTGATTCCAAAATAAAACTGAGTACGTTTCAAGGAGTGGTCCTGCTAACTCTATATCACAAAACAAAAGTAGAACAAGTAATTACAATATTATTCAAAGACCAAGCAAAATCCTCATGTTTTCTGTAACCATATGTTAGACATAATAAGATAAGTCAACTCACATTCAGAGTAGTCATGGCCAATTTCCTACGAGATTAATTATGTAATAAATAATCCACTGTCCCCAGCCATCTTTGGTAGTTATAATTGTATATATAGTATGTCTTATTTTGTAGGACAAGTCATATAGCCAACATTATTCTTCAGCAGCAACTGTATATGCTTTTATTTTTAAACTAGTTCCGGTTTCACGCAGGTTACTCCTGATAACTTGATTTGACTGAAGCTCCGCTCTCAGCAGCGTCTCCATGCACAACTGAGCACAAGGAGGATAGAGAATTAAGAGATATCCCCAACATCATTGTCGCTTGTTAATGTCCATATAGAAACACAGACTACACAGAAGAGAAAACACGAAGTGTAATCAGCTATAGTAATAGATACAAAATAGTGCAAAAGTGTTCAATCCCTTGAATAATGCAGCCTGGTGTAAATTGGTGTGTCTCCATGAGATGTTTCTGAGACTAGGAATAGTTTAAATGATTAAATGACATATATAGCCTATATCTAAAGTTATCAGATAATAAGAAAGCATTTTTCACCAACCTTGTTCTGGTTCCCAGTTAACTTGTTTCCTTGGGGTTTCTATTGGAAATTTCATCTCTGTTTTTGTTCTCAATCAACACGTAAGGGACTTTCAATATGATTTTAAAAATAAAGAAAAATATCCAAATCACAAGGAGTCCTCCAGCATCTCCGGGACATCATATGTTTGTGGATGGTGGAGTAAATTGTACGCAGGAATAAACGCATCGTAAAACCGCATTGTCTGCCTCTGCTGTCCCCCCTCCCTTTTTCTCCTCCTCGCTTGGACGCGCGGTGATAGTCTGACAAGAGAGATCCTTGAGAGACCTTTCATGAGCTGTCGCACAGGAGGACCAAACCACATCATGTCTCATACCCGAACACACAAAAAACGGGTTGGTCCGGTCCACAAACACAGCCACAGGGTGTCCAAAAAAGCAACTTTACGCCAGAAGGTAGAACAACGGGAAGGGATGCTCTCCTCCCTTCCATTCCCAAAGCTCTACTCTACTCTTGCTGTAAATACCTGGGGGAAATGTGCCTCTAGCCTTGCATCGGTTACATACTCACACATGTTCATAATACATTTTTGAATACTTACTGTTTTGGTTATTCCCCAAAACGGGATTATCTTCTCGTCATTTGGCAACCGGCAACGGAGCACATGGCGCAGGGCGGCAAGTCAGAGCTGCACGGCAAATCAGCTGCAGACTCAAACCATGACATCATTCACATGTATGGGAAAACGTTTAATTATTTATGAACTTCTACAAAGTCACTTCCTCCATCCAACATTGTAGACATTTGTAGAAACTGAATTGAGCCTGAATTTATTTTTGATTATGGCCAACTATGCTGTTTAAGTCAAGTTCACACTGCAATTAAGAAATCCACAATCGTTTGCTTGTAAATGACACGAGGGGTCAAAAGGTTTATAAAACAATACAAGGAACACAGCAGAGTTAACAATACGCTGCTGACATGCTGTCCAACATGCACTCAGTTGAATCAGAATGTATTGCACTCTGTGTACTCCCACTACCACATTATATATAAATGAGGCCACTGGTTTTGTTTTTTAGCAGGCCAGATGGTGTGTTTGCCTCAAACCGTCCTCAAAACAGCAAACCAGTAATTAACAAGAGGCTATCAGCCAGTAATTAGGACCATGCACATGAATAGAACTAACAATAATAGATTCAATATAAGTGTGATAGATAGATAGATAGATAGATAGATAGATAGATAGATAGATAGATAGATAGATAGATAGATAGATAGATAGATAGATAGATAGATAGATAGATAGATAGATAGATAGATAGATAGATAGATAGATAGATAGATAGATAGATAGATAGATAGATAGATAGATAGATAGATAGATAGATAGATAGATAGATAGATAGATAGATAGATAGATAGAGATAGATAGATAGATAGATTCAAACCCCACTGCAGTCAGCATGTCGTTGTGTCCCTGGGCAAGACACTTCACCCCAAATTGCTCCTGTGGGGATTGTCCACAGTATTGAGTATGTAAGTCGCTTTGGATAAAAGCGTCTAACAAGTGACATGTAATAATAATAGATAGATAGATAGATTGGGAAATTCTATTCTATAATTCTATTATAGTATAGAAGTTGATGGAGCCATTATCTCTCTTGTCCCCTCTTCTGGATAATATTTAACTAAACTATTAGGCAGACAATTATATAAAATGCAGTGCAAGTTTAAAGCCATTTCTGGCAAAGGGGCTACAGTTCAGATGCAGTTTATTTTATTGGTGGAAGAAGTGTTCATTCAGCTATTTGTATAGTTCTACAGAAATACTCCTGATCTTGTTCAAGTATAAATACAAAAGCAAATATTTGATATTTCTAATGTCGTGGATCTGATTGAATTATGAGTTATAAACGTTATGCCTTGTAATAATAATAATACATTTGATTTAAATATTGTTGTTTTTGTTCACTATTTCCTTTCAGGTGACAGGTGTGGGGGTGGGTGGTTGGTGCGTGACTTTCCTTAGGCATGAGCGTGATGACGAAAGCAATCATAGCAACCAGCATGGCGACGGGGAAGCTTTGCTCCGCCACTCATCTGCTTATAAACTCGTATTAGGCTGTTACCGTTTCGTTACTTGATTAGCTTTCAGCGTTAAAATGTCCGTCGTTAAGTACACTGTAGTTTCTGGATGTATCCAAGCTCTACCGTCGCTGCCCAATAGTATTTCTGAGGAAAATGGGATACGCTGAGTGTAACATTACCATGGAATCGAGAATAGGTATGCAACTACTGTTAGCATTAGCTAAGCTAGCTGTTTGGCTAGTGGATCAGCTGCATGAAGCTAATTCAAATTGTGCCTAGGCAGCTATGTGAAGATCAACTCTGGCTAACTCTGTATAAGCTCACGAATGTGGCTTCACGTTTATGTAGATAATGGTCAGCCCTTTACTAACTTAGCTTGTTAAACTTGAAATCTATAACAACACAGTAGCGTTTAAGCCTGTAACACGGTGCTTCTGATAAAGCTAGCTAAAAATAGGTTACTTTATTGTGGTACATTTATATGGTTCATAGTACACGTGCTAATGTATTTTCTCAAAGATGTTCTTCTTAAAGTTCAAATTAAATGTATTTCTGTAAAAAAGGATGAACTATTTTTTCAGATCACATATTTGTTGATAAGATATCTGTTCTGAAAAATATTGACATATTACTACTACTTGTAATAACTGAGCAAGAATGGAAATGTGTAGAAATACAACACAAAACGTGTTTACCCCATAGATTACCCCCAAGACTGAAGGACTGTTAAATAATGAATTTCAATAAATTATATTTGAATAGTTTAATGTAAATAAATAATCTGTTTAATATTTGTTATTGATTAGTAAGCACATATATAATTCAGTAAGTTATAGCATGTTTAACATGTCAACATGCATCTGTTTTCATTCAGGGAGTGTATCATCTGGAGGGGGCTGCAGTGTGAGAGGACGAACTTCAAAAAGTAGCCGTGAGTAATATTATGCGCTTATATTATCATTTAAAACATTAAAATGAAAGCTTGATTATATCATTTACTGCATGTTGTATGTGTGTTTTCTGTCTTGCTTTTATAGCATTCTGCCCTCGCTCCTCCAGCATGTTGACACAGTCCATCGTAAAAGACCACATGGTGTCTCATTACAAGAAGGTTTACTCAGCTAAAGGTGAGCTACATGGCAGGAATACATTATGATCATTACATTGACATTCCGTAAAACAAACTAAATCAGCTCCTGAGAATTCTGAATAACTAGTTTGGTCATGCAATCATGGAAAGCTTTTAATCTTGTTGAAGCATGTAAAGCACTTTGTAATTTGATTTTGAAATGCTCTTTATAAATAAATAAAAAATACTGTTATTATTAGTGGTTGCAAAGTAATTGGATTCATTTTCTGTTGTGATCTTAATTGTGTTTGCCTCGTTCTACAGCTGCCATTGATGCCTCAGTACCCAAAAGCCTGATACACAGTGTAAAGTGTAAGTTTGAAAGTATCAAATATCACATTATTAATTACAATTGAAACACTGTTTTGCTGCTGAATTTGGGGTGTACCTTATATTACCATTACTGTTTTTCTATTTACAATATATTTCATTCTCATTTTACTGTCACTATAATATAACCACAACCAATCAGATAATGGTGTCTCACTGGTTATCAAAGACCAAAACGTTCTCTTTAAACCCAACATTTTGCCCAGTTGTTCAGTATTAAAGTCCGACCTGTTTAGTTTTACAGGCAGACAGGCTGACAGTAGCCTCAATAGGCAATAATGCAATGCAATCACTGATCCTGTTTGAGTACAGGATGTAGCTCATCCTTATCCATACTGGTAAAGTAATGCTCTCTTCTAATGGCTGTACTATAACAACTTCTCTCTTGCCCCTTTCATACCCTGCACTTAAGTACAGTGAGTCTTGGCCTATTGTTGACTATTTCCTGTGTCTATTCTTCCGTTGCCTGTTTCCAGACAATGACCAGATCAGACAGGAGCGGTTGAGGAGAGGGGGTCGTCCTCAGTCAGCCAGCTCTCTCTCCCAGAGGAACAGCAGAGCCTCCTGCTCACCTGCCCAGGTAAGAAATCAAGACAGATTCACTGATGTGTCACTCAGAAGCCAGCCATTGTTTAAAAACAACATGTTTCCTTTTCAGAGTAGATTATCTGTGCAGTATGATGACAGCCGCTACCTCTACTCAAGGAGTTCCTCAGTATCCAGCCCAGGGTTCAGCTCCTCCTTCCATGCCAAGGAGATAGTTTATCCATCGTATACAGTGGATTCTGACAAGTTCTCTCATCACATACGGCCAGCTTCAGAAATAAAATACCGTAGTCCTGAGGCAACTTCACACAGAAGGCAGTCAGCATATTCAATGGGAGCTTCAGGAGATCACAGTCACTACACGTCTTTCCAGGACCCTGTTCAGAAGACTTACAGCGGAGACTTGCTCCAGAAACATTCACAGCACTTTACCCAAGACAAACCCTTCACCCCTAAGACCCTGAAGTCAGAAAAGAGTTCATACCTTTCACAATATCGCTACTACCGAGCTCCCCGGAGGAAACCTACTCAGGATAGCACCAGCTCAAAATGTATGCGACAGGAGACATATCATGGAAGGTACTTACCACGCATCTACATCAGGGTGTCCGCGGGGTCTTAAAAAGTATTAAAAGTTGATAAATCAATTTAGAGAAAATTAAGGCTATTAAAAAGTATTAAACAGCATTTTCAAGGTATTACATTTTGTAGCTTGTTTTCAATAAGTATATCAATTGTCCAAAGAGGTTGTATTCTAAAGTCTGCCTGAATGTAATCATTGCGTAGGTGTGTAGTGTGATTCTGTGTAGTTTATTTATGGCATCCCGTTGGATTTGACGTCATCTAAACAGGACATCGCACGCTCACTGCTTGATAGCGCGCGAAGGTCCGTTTACGCCGGTTGTTAAACAACATCGTTATGGGGAAATGCAAGTTTGCGTCCAAATGGTTGGAAGATAAGCAGGAAGGACAATCAATACTGTATATAGTAAATGTGAGGTAAAGTGTGTCGCCAATGTAACCGGTTAGAACTCGAAGTGGCGATGAGGTCTTAAA